AAAAAAAAAAAAAAAACAATACTTTGGTGTAGTGACAGTCTCCCAATTGATCAAGTGAAACTTCCTCTCCCCGATTGAACCGTACATAGAAAATCCCTTTGGAGTTTTTCCAGCTTTCTTGTATGGATGTTATTTAACTTCCCATGTCATTGTTGTCATTTCTAAAATGGTATTCAGCTGAAGCCAAGTGCTACACTGTGAGTTAGCTCTGTATACCCAGCTTATGCACTATAATGTATGCTGATGCATGTTTTCCTTTTTAATTTCTGCAGAGTGTTGAGGAAGCTGAGTGTCAAAGGGCATACGATTTGGCTGCTGATAGATACATGGCTTCATTTGATCGTTCTAAGCCCCCGGAGGAAGTAAGTGTTGCTTTTGTTTCGTTGCTAACATTATCTGGTTGCTTTTAATATTTCAATCATCGCAGGGTGCACTAAGAGAAGCACATGAAAATGCGGCTCAAAAGTCCATGACAGAATTTAATTGTACTGCTGTGGGGGCTGGATCCACCAGGATGAAATATGAGAAGCGTCTCCAGAATTTCATAAAAGAGGCATTTGAGGTTAGTTTTTCATCTACCCTTTACTTCAAATATGGAGGATAAAGTGCATTAGTGAATAGTGATATAAGCATACATGTTTGTGTCGTAATACATTCCTTCGTAGAGGATGAGTTAATACTAATTTTTATTTTGCTTCTGCACCATCCTTATCCCCCCAAAAAACAAAAACTATTTTGTAATCATGCTTCTACATTACTTCATTTGCTTATATTCAGGATTGGGGTTCTAGAGATACTTGCCAATAGGTTAGCCAATAAACGACACTGACTAGGTTCTAGGAAGAGTGTCATGGGGTTTGGGGGGGGTTAAATCTGACAATTATGTAATGCGATTAGTATTTAATGTTGGAACCAGGGACATGGTTTTCTTATTATTGCTTCATTGGAGGTCTTTTAGTTGTTGAATTTAGTAGTATTTATTTATTATGTTTTGGCTTTGAGCCGTGGATTGGCCTTGGATCAGAACGAAATTCCTCCTTGCTTTCAGAGATGGTTCAGGTAATGCTTTCAGATATAACCATTATCGTTTCTCTTTGAGTATCTTTATACGGAGGACATTTTCTATTTTTCATAGAATGGCAAAACCTATTTACGCAGAAGTCAAGCTTTAGAGGTTTCATTTGATCTTCATTTTCTTATAGGTAATGTAAGGATATTATTCCTGATGCAAAAATCAGCATCTAGGACATTTGATCTTCATTTGAAGTTGTGAAAAAGGAGAAGATGAGAAAAAAATACTTGATGAATTAGTGAAAGATACATCCAAGACTAATTTAGATAAGGAAAAGTTCTTACTTGACAAGATTCTTAATTAATCTGTACAGTGTACAATTATTCTGTTTTTTGGGTAAGTGTAAAATTATTCTGTTTAGACTGTATTTTCACTACTTACACTTTTGGAATGGTGAAATATTCTAGTAAATCTCAACATTGTGTTTCAGTGAATTGCATGGTTAAGAAGTTATTGTTGTTTCTTTCATCGTATAAGTGACCTGTGAAATGTATCTTAATTCTCTCCTTCATTTACAACTCTTCTCTCTGCTAACCAGGTGATAATTGAGTCAAAGTTCAGGCACATATGTGTTAATGCCTGTGTGTTTGGTATGTTTGTTTCTTCCCAGAAAAATGCCTGTCCCTGTGTAGATACGGTTCCTATGTTCTTATTGGTTTGATATCTGCACATGGGCCATCTGCCCACATGATATTGACTATATATGTTATATGGACCTGCCCGTTGACATTCTGGCTGGTATTCAGTAAAAGTTTCCTGGTAGTGAGTATCTACGCTATGCTACTAAATAGCTCTTTTCAATTGTCAAATTGGTTTTTATGTTGATACAGGAACTTAAAAAGGATGCCTTTAGGGAGGCCTATCTACGGTGTTCAAATGCCATAGAGGACATGGAAAAGGAACTGAAAGTGGCTTGTCATGCTCCTCATGGAAACATAGATGGTGTTCTTAAGGTAAGCTTTATTCATGATACTACGATAGAAATTTAGCCTATTTTTAGGTAGCTAAACTGGAATTCAGGCTTATTAAGTTACAGATACCCGGAAATGCATATGCTATATGCAGGTTCTTGGTTGTTTAGTATCCAAGTACGAAGCAACGTGCCAAGGTCCTGAAAAGTGGAGAAAATTAATCGTCTTCATACAACAAAGGTTTGTATATTATCAATGCTTTATTGAAGCACTTGCAATTGGGAGTATATATGTAATATCACATTAATTTTCCAGCGTGGAAAGTCCACTTTTTGATCTTATCAAGAATCAAATAGACAAGCTTGGATCAGAGAAAACAAGTGCAGAAGTATCTGCTCTGAAGTCCATTACTGCTGCTGCTGAAGCAAGACTGGCTGCTGCCAAAGAACAAGCTGAATCAGCTCAGGAGGAGGCGGAAGAGTGGAAACTTAAATATGACATTGCTGTTAAGGAAACCCAATTGAGAGAAGATGCTTTAAGGGATGAATTTTTAAGGACTCTGGCCGATAAGGTGAAAATATTGCTACAAATATTGGTTCAATTTCAATTTGCTGCTTTGTTTGATTTTGCTTCTCAACCCTCCTGGAAACATCATTTCTTAGTTTTCCAAGATGACATTTAAAGTTCTATTTGTTCATGAAACTGCAGGACAAAGAAATAAAAGACAAGACATCTAAGCTTGAGCAGGCTGAACAGCATTTAGCAACACTGAATTTGAAGTTGAGGGTGAGTTGCTTATCTAAAACTACATAACTTGCATTTGCACCAATCTTGTGTATAAAAAAAGGTGGTGGTGGGATAGAGCAAAGTAAAAGTCAGAAAGAGGGGTGGGCACTCTCTGTTTGTTATTTTAAAGTGTTGGCCCTTTGCACTAGCTTTAGCATTTGGAGTGCGCGGACTTTTATTTGGCAATCTAGTAACCTCTAGTTATGTGTTAACTTGTGGATTGATCGACAAGTTTGCCAATTAGATCTGATGAATGGAACTCTCAATTTTTATGATTGGAACCAATTTCTCTCTGGCAATTCAACTAGGTAAACCTGCCTATGTAAATAAAAGGATACTTGCGCTCATTTTGTATGTGGTAGTTTAAGAGATTTGCATGTGTGTTAGTACTAGTAATTGCCCAAATGGAGCAAAAAGGATACAGATGATTCATATAGCCAAACTCAACTAGTTCAGAATTGAGGTGTAGTTGATTGATTGTTTTGTACTAATGACTATTCTGTGATTATTACTTCTTACAGGCTGCTGAATCAAAAGTAAAGAACTCTGATCTAGAAGTTTCAATCTTAAAGGTTGAAGTCAAGAAATTGGGTGAAAGGCTAGAGAATATCAATGCTACTGCACAATCATTTGAAAGAAAAGCTAGGATTTTGGAACAGGAGAAGGTTCATCTGGAGCAGAAGTACCGGTTAGAGTCCATTAGATTTGAGCATATTCAGTATAGATATGAAAGAGAGGCTAAAAGAGCAACTGCGTTGGCTGATAAATCAAGGGCTGAAGCAGCTAGGGCCGTGAAAGAAAAGAATGATATTCAGAGATTAGCTATGGAAAGATTAACTCAGATTGAGAAAGCTGAGCGACAAATTGAAAAATTACAGAGACAAAAAGATGACCTGGATTATGAAGTAAGGAAGTATCGTGCTGCCAAAGAACAAGCTAAATCGGCTCAGAAGGAGGCGGCGGAGTGGAAACGTAAATATGACATTGCTGTCAAGGAAGCTAAGAATGCTCTTGAGAAGGCAGCATCTGTTAAAGAGCGCGCAAACAAGGAAACCCAATCGAGAAAAGATGCTACAAGGGATGAATTTTCAAGCACTCAGGCTGTGTTTAGTTTGTTCTAACAGTCATGGAACACAGTCACAGATGCAGCCAGGTGCAAGCGGGTTCATCCGGACCAGTATAATTTTTGCCCAAACTATAGATACATATGTGAAAACTCATAAAAAGTTTAGCAAATATTTTATATAAACCCATAATTTTAGAAGTATAATGACTTCAGTGCTAAGAACGTTAAAGGTTGAAATACATCATTTATATCTTAAATCCGCCAATGATAGAACAAAGCGTTGAAATTGGTGGAATCTGTACGTGAAGGTCATAAGTTATCTTTACACATATAGCTAGCCGAAAATGGTGGAATCCGTACGTGATGGTCATAAGTTATCTTTACACATAGCTAGCCTGATTCATTGTTTATTTTTGCAGCCTGTATACATGATTATATACAATGGCGGACGCACGTAGTGGCAAACGGGTTCAGTCATCAAAAAATAATACTGTGTATATATATAAATTAGGATTAAAACTGCATAAATTTTGTATAAATATTTTATTTGAACCCACTTGACAACTACTATTTTATGACTAAAATTATGTACTTCTGAGATTGAACCCGCTTGCACAAAATTATGGGTCCGCCACTGATTATATACTAATTATACATAGTTATACATATGTTATATATATATTATACATTTACTAGCTATTTTAGTTTAAGTTGTTGGGTGGGTGGCTATTTAGGTTAATTCTTCTTTTTAATCCTCTTGCAATCTCTTGTGAGAAAGGTGTTGCTGAGGAAAATCATCAGTTATATATAATGGTGTGCGCTTAGGAAATTAGTTCCTTAGATATATCTGTGCACAAGAAATAGATATATAAGGACTAAAAAAGAAAACAGAAAACAAAGAAAGAAACAATGTGAAGTGAAGCTCTAGTATTATGCATGCGTTGGCTGATTTTAAGGCCATCATTAGCTCCCATACATAAACTTATTCACAGAAACGAATAGGTTTGATAATCATCATTACCTCATTTTTCATCAAATTTGCCAGAGTTAAATTCTTCTGAATCAACATCTAAACTCATTTTACTCATCTCATTGATAACATAGTGTCACACCTCCTTTTTCCCGCAGAAAATATTAGGGGGAGTTTTTCCAATTTAAGTGACATTGTTCGAAAAGGGATTATTTATTTGATCAGAGTCGCCACTTGGAATAGTTGTTATGGTGTCTCAAGTCACCGGTTTATTTTAAATCCCAAATCGAGGAAATTGACTCTATTTTATGGTCCGCGAACACAGAAGATCGGATAAGGAATTCTGTTAACCCGGGAGAAGGTATGAGGCACTCCCGGATTCCGTGGTTTTAGCACAGTCGCTCAACTATTAATAATTGGCCCAATTATCTGACTTATTATATATTTAAAACCTATTGTG